ACACTAACCTGCTCTGTGTTTATAACCACAGAAGAAGACACTAACCTGCTCTGTGTTTATAACCACAGAAGAAGAACACACTAACCTGCTCTGTGTTTATAACCACAGAAGAAGAACACACTAACCTGCTCTGTGTAACCTGAGCTGAGGGTTGTAAACAGCGTCCAGTAGTTTCCGTTGTCGCTCGTTCTCCTCTTTTGAGTGACAAAGTTGCTCCTCGTACTCTGCTATCGTTCTTTCAAACAGCCCAAATATCTCTTCATCAGCCGCAGTTAGTCGCTGCTTCACCAACGCTCTCAGCATTTGGACTTTACACATCTTCAGTCTCTCCGACAGCTGCTCTGTGATGCTAACTTCCGCTAACAGCTAGCATGCTAAGCTAACTCCATGAGCACTGTAGTCCACCGAGTCAGAATAAAAACAGTCAGAAGAGCTGTTCATGGATCAACACCAAATAAACTCCTTCACCGGCGGAAAAACACAGACGCCATGTTGCCGCATGTTGTCAGCAGCGCTTCCGGTTCAGCTTCTTCTTTGGAGTTTTACGGCGGTTGGCATCCGTCCCGTAGCATTACCGCCATCTTCTGGGTCTACCTTGCTCCAACATCTTTCATTCCATTACATTCTTTTCACCAGTCCAGTTGTTGTTAGGTAGCTGATTAAGAACCTCCTTCCCCTCCATTCACTCCACACTCCAGTGTGTTCTTCAGTGTCTGTTTTTTTTTTTAATGGAATCTTTTTTTCGTTTCCAACAAACAATACACCCCCCACACACCAAACCTATATACATATGTACAGTTTATACATTAATGATCCAAGAATTCATATTCAGTTCACATTCATGAGGAAAAAGAAAATACCAGAAAAACAAAAACAAAAGAAACAAACACAGACAACATCCAAATCAAAGCACTTCAACTTAAATTAAATTTGTCAACTAAGGCTAGCAATTTCTGGGCTTTGCTATCTTTAACCCATTCAAGTGATCTATTCAGGCTCTTCGGCTCCTTTTTCCATTGGTAGAGACACGGTTTAACCCTTAAAAATTTGCATTTGTGAATATAAAACTTAACACATACCAGCAGAATATTAAACAAAAAATCTATGTCCTTATTTGTGATACTGAGACCACATCTAACCACTTCCATTGATATGGGCGGCAGGTTAATCTCCTTATCTAGTAGTGTGTCACAGTGTGACAACAGTGTCTCTGTTGTCAGTCCTGTTGCTTTCATTCCCTCCACCATGTCCGCTCTCTCCGCTGTACTTTCTGCATCTGACCATCACATGCTCCACTGTGTCCAGTTCTTGGCATCTGTCACACTGTCCTGTCGGATGTTTTCCTATCATGTATAATGTGCTGTTAAGCTGTGTATGTCCTATTCTTAGCCTGCTGATCAGTGTCTCCTCTTTCCTCCTCCCCCCTCCTCCTTGTACTGCCAACTTTATTCTGATGGATGTATAATTGTCTCCCTTTGATCCCCTGGTCCCACTGCTGCTGCCATTTTCTAATTATCTCCCTCCATACAATACTCTCCCCCTCTGTTCTTGTTAGTCTAATCTGTACATCTGTGTTGTCTTTCCTTATAGCTTGTTTGGCTATTGTATCTGACCTTTCATTTCCCAGGTTGCCAATGTGAACAGGGACCCACATTCTGTACGACATCTATTGCACGTCTGTCCGTCCTGGAAGAGGGATCCCTCCTCAGTTGCTCTTCCTGAGGTTTCTACCATTTTTTCCCCGTTAAAGGGTTTTTTGGGGAGTTTTTCCTGATCAGCTGTGAGGGTCATAAGGACAGAGGGATGTTGTATGCTGTAAAGCCCTGTGAGGCAAATTGTGATTTGTGATATTGGGCTTTATAAATAAAATTGATTGATTGATTGATTGATAACCACTATATCTTTACCTTGCTTCTTCACTGCTGTGTGTGTTGCTAATACTTCATATAACAAATCTTGTCTGCACTTAGACCTTCCTGCCCTAAGACTGTGAAGCACTGATGTTGAGTCACTGCAGATTATAGCCTTGTCTATTGTCCTCTCTCTTACCCAATCCAAAGCCATCAATATGGCGTACATTTCAACAGAGTGACTGGGTATTGCAACTGCTGCCCCTGTGTGTCCTGAGTCTGGATCCTTCGACCCATCTGTATAGACCTGCACATAGTCCCCATACTTGCTCTCCCCATACTCATAGAACTCATTCTTTCACTGCTCTTCTTGAGCTCAAGCATTTTCAGGTCAACCACCATAGGCTCTATCATCATAGGTATCACAGGCCATATTACAGTTGGAATAAACTCATCTTCATACACGCCCAACTCCCTTGCTGTTGCATGTGCATGTCCTGTCCAGCCAAAACTTAGTTTCTGTGCCCTTTCTTTCTCCCAGCATGCCTCTAGTATCTTTTTTGTTGGATGACTCTCTTCATGCCCCTTCAAGTTTATCCAATAGTTTACTGCCAGCTGTTTCCGGCGTAGCTCAAATGGCATTTCCCCTGCTTCAACTTGAAGAGCACATACTGGAGATGTTCTGACTGCCCCTAAGCACACCCTCAGAGCCCGCGATTGAATCCTGTCCAGCCCCTCCAGCACAGATTTTGCTGCTGACCCATACACCATGCTCCCATAGTCTTTTCTTGATCTTATTAGGGCTACATATATATATCTCAGGCTCCCCACTCCACCCCTGCTAGGCATCTCATGACATTTATCACTTTCCTGCATTTCCCCTCCACCTGCTTCACATGCTCTCTCCACGTCAGTCTTGCGTCAAAGTGCACTCCTCGAAAACGGAAACTCTCCATCCTCTCAAGGTTACTTCTATACATCTCCACCACATACTCTGCCCTGGTTCTTTTCTTTGTGAATAAATACTTTGTCTTTTCAACTGAGAATTTAAACCCCCACTTCAACCCCCCATTCCTCCACCTGCCGGATCCCATCTTGTATTTTGCTGACTACATGCCTCTCATTCCACCCTCTTTTCCATAGAGCTCCATCATCTGCAAACAAAGATCTTCCCATGTCCCCTGCTACAGTTAGTTAGTTAGTCAGTCATTACAGAAAACAGAGTAGGGCTGACCACACTCCCCTGGGGTGTCCCATTCTCTACCCTATGCTGGCTAGACATCTCAGATCCCACTTTAACCTGTATAAATCTTCCCCTCAAAAAGTCCATGAGCCAGTTAAACATTCTCCCTCCTATTCCCAGCTTGTGCAGCTTAGTCATCAGGCCCTCTGTCCACATCATGTCATATGCCTTCTCTACATTAAAGAACACTGCTGCCACTGTCTCTTTATTTACCTGTGCTTTCCTGACATCATCCTCCAGGCAAAGAACTGGGCCCATAGTGCCCCTTCCCCTCCTAAACCCACTCTGATAAGGAGCCACCATACCTCTCTTCTCTAGGTAATACATAAGTCTCTCATTGACCATTGATGTCAGCACAATAGGCCTATAGTTTGCCGGTTTGCTGACATCCTTCCCTGGCTTCCTTATCGGGATAATTATTGCTTCCTTCCAGCTCTCTGGAATTTTTCCCTCCTCCCCACTTCAGACAGATTGTTTGAACTATGCACACTAACAAAAGTTTTGACCATTCATTCAGCTTTTTCCTTATGTGTTACTGCAACCCCCTCACCATCACTCAACACTGGATAGCGCCATTCCCTCTTATCTCCACCCATCTTCCTTATCATTCCCCAGACCTCTCCTACCTGAGTGGTGCTGCCAATAGAATCACAGTATTTCCTCCAGTATGTCCTTTTCGTCTGCCTTATTGTTCTCCTCACCACTGCCTGGGCATGCTTATACTGCAACACTGTCTGTAAACTATGTATTCTTTTAACTAATCTAAACGCTTCATTCCTATTCTTCACTGCCTCTTTGCATTTATCATCCCAACAAGGTACTGCTTTTCTCTTCCCTCTACCCTTACTTTTAGGAATGGACTCTTCTGCAGCTAGCAGTATACCTTTCCTTACTTCTCTATCCAATGTTTCTATGTCTAAGCCATCCGCAATCAGACTTAAGTATACATCATCACTTTTCCATTGAAACTTCTCCCAGTCCACCTTCTCAAACACCAGTTTCCCTCCACTATTATTTGCAGTCACTGTTACATCTGTAATGACTTTGCACAAAACTGGATAGTGGTCACTTCCTATTGTTCCCTGCTGATATACACTCCACTCACATATTGCTGCCATACTATCAGTCACCAACGTGAGATCCAATACAGCCTCTCTCCCTGTGTTCACATCTATCCTTGTTTAACTCCCATCATTCAAACATACAAGGTTTCCCTCATCCAACAGCTCTTCAATTACTTAACCATTATTATCCATGCTCTCACACCCCCACAATGTGTTGTGTGCATTAAAATCCCCACATCATATCACATTATTCCTATCAATCAATCAATCAATCAATCAATCAATCAAACTTTATTTGTATAGCACTTTTCATACATTAAAAATGCAGCACAAAGTGCTTCACAGAATAAAAAACAAACAAAAATACTACATACATATTGAAAACCCGCCCCTCCCAACCCCACACACACATGCACACACACACACGCACACACACGCACACACACACACGCGCACACACAGTCAATATAGTCAATAACATGGCTGGGCACTGAGGAACCAGGTGAGGAAAACCGAGGTAGGCTCCACACATGGTGCAGAGCCCCCCAATACTCTGAGGGATCTCCAGGACGACGTCCCCGCGGGCAGACCGGGCACACCTCCCAGTGTGGAGGCCCCCCATGAGGAAACACTGGAGCTAAAAACTAAAAGACTAAAAGGTAATATGATAAGATAAAACAAGTATGAGATAAAATAGTGATAAAATGCATAAAAGTGTAAGGATTTAGAAAAAATTAAAGATTTAAAGATTAAAATATTAATAATAATAAATAAATAAATGAAGATTTAGAAACTTAATAATAATAAAATGCATAAAGATTTAAAAATAAATCATTTAAAAGCATTAGAAAGTAAAAAGAACATATAAGAATTAAAAGAGTAAAAGAAATCAGTTAAAAGCCAAACTAAAAAGGTGAGTCTTGAGCCTCCTTTTAAAAACATCAACAGTCTCTGCAGTCCTGATGCTCTCCGGCAGGCTGTTCCATAAGTGAGGGCCATAATGGCTGAATGCAGCCTCCCCGTGGGTTTTTGTTCTAACTCTTGGAACAATTAAAAGGCCAATGCCGGAGGACCTCAGGGTCCACGAGGGTTAATATGATAAAAGCAGGTCAGATAAATAAGATGGCCCAAGACCGTTAAGACATTTAAAAACTAATAAAAGAACCTTAAAATCCATCCTGAAACACACGGGGAGCCAATGCAGC